CTCTGGGTTTTAAGGTGGATCTGCAGAATTGCCATAGCGAGCGGCAGGAGCGTGTATCCCTGCTGCTGCCATGCTCCCGGCAGCTGGCAGCCCTCCTGGACGTTTATGGGGTCGTATAAATGGGTTTGAAGAATTGCATCAGGCTCCGTGTGAAATACTGACTCCCCAGTTGAGAACTCTGTCCTAAAAGTCGCGTCAGTGAGAGAGTTCGTGGCGATAAATATCTGTGCTTGGTGCTTTGTTATGGAAGGAGGGTTGTGTGCACCACTGGAACAGGGAGTATAAAACTCCTGGTTTGTATCCTGCTGCTCATGAATGAACAATAGGAAGGGGAGGAAGGGACTGTATCCATTGGGCTTCTCTGGGAAATGGGAGTCACATCTTCTGGAACTGCTCCCTACAGGGACAGACAGGCACTGCCACGCTGACTGTCACCAGCCCAGCTGCCATCTGCTTGCTTTCACTGGGCTGGGTGGGTCACAGGGCACCCACAGGGTGCTGGGGGGATGCTGGACTCCTTCTGGGCTGTTCCCAGTGCTCCTGTCACCAGTGTGGCTGATGGTAGGGCACACAGACACTTTCCTGCTCCCTCCCGGCCCCACGTGCCCCGCAGGAGGGAGTAATTTGCACTTAATTGTGATCAGGTGAAGAGCACCAAAATGGGAAGTGAATGCGGAGCTGCGGATCGATGTGGACTCTGTGTACTTTAATTATTCACTTAATCGTAGTGACAAAGGCTTCTTAGCACCGGGGGTAATTAGATTTGTGTTCATTGATTCCCCAGGCTGCCATTATCCAGAAAGAAACAAGCGGGTGCTCTCCATGGATCCCATCTACACCCCCTGCCCAGGGTGCCAGCACAGGCAGAGCGGTGGCACAGCCCACCCTGCCCGCACCAGGGCAGCTGGGGTGCAGGGAGCCCCACCAACACGCTTTATCCCCCAGGCAGCAACAGCCTAGGGCTCACTGGAGCCCTGGGTGTAGCTCAAACTCACACCCTCTCTCCTCCTATCACCAGTTCCCATCAACTCCACTCAGGGGCTGAAGATGCTCTATGTGTTTGTGGACATAAAGATCGATGCATCCCATTTCCTTGAGACCATTCGCTTCAACTTCATGGCAGGTGCCTCCCTGGCCCTCGTCAGCACCATCCAGTTTGTCTCCACGCTGCAGGTGAGATGGAGATCCCTGGCAGTGCATGGCACAGGATGGGGCCTTTGTCTGCCCCTGCCTTGGCCCCTGGCTTAGTCCTTCCCTGTCCCAGCTCCGGGGTGGGAGTGGCTGCCCCGGGGTGCCGGTGGTGCCGGTTTCCCTCTGACGAGTCGCTGCAATAATATGCTGCTACTGTAATGTTGATCAAGTACTTTATAATAACTCTGATCAATGTTTCATGGCGGCACCCCTCCCCAGCTCCCCCAGGAGCTGCTCTGTAAATGTCAGGGCAGGCAGTGGAGCACTTGGCATTTTGATGCAGTGCCGGCAGCGGCCGGGGAAGCTCCGGCGGGTCTGTCTGTCTGCCCCTGAACGGCCGGCTGGGCAGGACGGGAGGAGATGAATGAGCCTCTTGAGCCATGTCTATCTAAACACGGGGCTATCCAAGCGTTAAGCCTTTTCCCTTGTCTTTTAATTGATACGTTTGTTGAGCCTCGCTGAGCGTCCCGGTTTTGCAGGGCTGTTACTGGTGCCACCCCCAGCAGGCTGGCTCCCCTCCTCTGTTCTGTGCTGGGATGCAACAGGGCCAGGGTGTTTCCAAGGGTCTTTTACCACCCTCTGTGCCGTGGGTCTGTCCCTGCTAACCTCACCTCTCCTGCAGGCAGCGTCACAGGAGCTGCGCTCCCAGTACAAGGTGTGTGTGCCCCAGTGTAAGCCACTGTCCCCAGGAGAGATCCTGGGCTGCACATCGCCCCGGCTCCCCAAGGACACAGATGCCATTGTGTAAGTACCTGGAGTCTTCCAGGACCCTCCTACCTGGCCCAGGCTGCCCAACCTTCTTGTACCCCCTGCCCAGCTTTGGGCAGGAGGGTGGGAGGGGACATCCACAGGCTGGGACAGGCCCCCTCCACCTCCTCACGCTGCTTTAAGTGGCGTGTGCTTGTAGCACAGAGGAAATAATTGAGTCGTATATCAGAATAGATAATAGATGGAAGGGCGGGTGGATAATTGGAAAAGACAAATGGCCGGGGCCCAACATCACAGCAACATTAATTTTATTTAAGGACAGCAAATTAGAGGGAGCACTTCGCTTCCTATCACCTAATTATTTTAGGTAATGGAAATGCTTAATGTACTGTGAATACAGTGTGCTGCAGAATAAATAAATACAAGGACCCCACCCTTGGAGGGAGCCGGGGAGCCCAGGTGTGGGTTTGGGCCCTGAAGAGCTCCTTCTCACCCACACTGCTGGGAGCCTTTCTGAGTGCCTTTCTGAGCACGGCTGCGCAGGGAAACAAGCTTGTGATTGCTGGACAATCACAGTGGGAGCTCTGGCTTCACCTTGAGCCACACCAGCTCTCCTTTCCATCTCTCCAAGGGCATCAGGAGCAGGAAGGGGTGGCCAGGCTGGCATTGCGTTGGCGAGAGCGTGTCCTTCCCACTGCCAGAGGAGTGGTGGTGCGGTACCAGCCGGCCGCCTTACCTGCGTCCTCCCTGCGTTATTATTTTCTTCTGTGCACCGTCTCTGGGGCTAACTTTTGCAGACAAATTAGCTTTGATCTCCCAAAATGTCATTCTCCAATTAAGGGCAAAATCTAGTCAAGTTTTACGTCTGAATTCATTTTCCAAGCCCTCACTCCATTAGGGCAGCTGAATGAAAGGCTTTGAAATGTAATTGCTGACTTGAAATCCGATTAGAAATGGAAGCAGCAACATCTAGAACCAGCCATTGAGATGGAGCAGCTCCCAGCCACCCCGTGCCTGGGTGAGCATCCCTCTTTGCTCTGAGCATGGCTGCTCTCCTGCCCCACCGTGCTGGGGGCTGCACAGGGACAGGGAGCCCTGGCTGTGCCTGCTGTCCCTGGGCCCCACCACGGGAGCTTGGATTCCTGGCCTCTCCACACACCTGTGGCTTGGGAAACCGCAGACGCATGGATGGGTGCCTCTGTTTGCCATGGGCCATAGCTCCCCCTCCCCTCTCCGCAGGTATTTGGGTGACGGGCGCTTCCACCTGGAGTCCATCATGATTGCCAACCCAGGGATACCTGCATACAGGTATGGGCACCCACTCCAGTCCCCCAGGGGTGTGAATGGGTGGGGAGCATCCCAACTCCCCCAGCACACCGGGGACCAGCTGTCCCCACCCTGCATGCCAGGAGCACCCCCTACCCCATGGCTGAGCAGGCAGCTGCCTGCAGCAGGCACAGGCAGGTGAGAGGCCGCGGGGTGGGTGAGGAGGTGGGTGAGGAGGTGCAGCGGGGAGATGAACACGAGCCATTTACTCTGCCTGAATATAAACATTTTGACAAGTACCTGTGAAAGCTTGTGGAGGTGCAGCCATTAAGGCCCGGCTGCTGCAGGCAGAGGCCATAAAGCGCGATGATGAGGCGGCTGAAAGCAGATGAAATATCAGGAGTGAAAGGCTGGGCCCATTTGGCGGAATCTGAATTTCCTAGTAGGTCGTTTGTTACAAACGGGAGGCGCACGTCAGGTTTATGGCGCTGGTGAAGCTGCCGAAACCCGAGTGGGATTTGATTAAAATTCTCCTCGTCAAACAAAGCAACAAATCAAAGATTTCTTCATAATTGATGAGCTGGGTTGAGGGGGGAGCTGAGCACGAAGCCGAGCGCAGAGCCCAGGCTGTGCTGGGTGTTGGGGTGCTGTGGTGGGACACTTGTCCCTGTCCTTGTCCCCTAATGAGCTGGTCCTACATCAGCCAGGAGGACAGATGCTGTAGGAGGCAATTAGCACTAATGAGAGACGGGCATCGTTTGGGGACAGTGTGGAGGGGGGGCAGGTGATGGGGCATGTGTGAGCCTGGCTATGTTTTGCAGGTATGACCCCTACAGCAAGGTGTTCTCCCAGGAGCACTACAGCCACGAGCGCATGCACTGCGCTCGGCAGGACGCCATCCGTGCTGCCACCACTGCCCGCTGCTGGGGGCTCATCCTGGGCACACTGGGGCGTCAGGGCTCCCCCAAAATCCTGCAGGTACCAGCCCCCTCCTCCCCATGGCCCCTGCTGGGCCACCGGGTGCTGCTGCTGGGTGGGGGTAAGGACTGGTGAGCAATGGCATCACTACCCACTGGCCCCCAAGCTAAGAGAGCAGGGCAATTAGCAGCAGATGAGGGAGGCCGGACAAGGGCTCATTAAACCTGCCCCTTGCTGGGGAGAGCTGGCCAGTCTTGGAGACCATCCCCTCCTGCTCAGACAGTTGGCAATTAATTCCCTGGGTTTGTTTTAATTGGATGAACTTCTGATCAGGTTCACCATCCCTGCTCAGCTGCTGTGCTGGTGCTTTCTGCACCCCAGCTGGGTGAGGGGAGCAGGACAACAGTATCCTGCTCCATGGGCGTGGGGTGCCCTGCTCACACCTAGAAATTTTGGGGTAGCTGTAGGTGAGATTTGGGGTAGCGAAGGGACCAGTGGGCAGAGCAGGGCATCAAGGTCCTGCAGCTGCTGTTCTGTGGGGGCAGGACATAGGCATGGCCAGGGCTGGCTGGGCAGGGGACACTGAGTGGCAACTCCAATGGACAAGGACATCCCTGGCCCCTCTCCTCCTCCTGCAGGCTCTGGCCACAGCCAGCCCACTGCAGGCCGGTGTCCCAGGGCAGGCAGCCGCTAACGAGAACAGATTGTTGTCATTGAGCAGTAATTACTTCATTAGGCTGAGGCACGTGCTGGGGAGAGCTGGAGCCACAGTCCCTGACACTGCGCCTGGCCTGCGACTGCCAAGGGGACACGGCCGTGGGGCAGAGCTGGGACCCACAAAGGGTCTGATGGACAGGAAGGGACAGTGGGCAGGGCTTGGGGGGCTTGATGGGGGTCCCTAATCCCCCCGGGTGCCTTTTCCCCCACAGCACCTGGAGTCACGTCTCCGTGCCCTGGGCTGGCCCTACGTGCGGGTGCTGCTGTCTGAGATCTTCCCCAGCAAGTTGCAGCTCTTCCCAGATGTGGATGCGTGAGTGCTGCTGACCCCTCCTCCAGCCCCCTACATGGGGTCCCCAGGGTGCCCCATCCCTGTCCAGGCCTCTGAGTCCTGCGTGAAGCCATCCCTGCCACATCTGTCCTGCTGTCACCTGGGTTAGCACTGTGCACCCCTGCACAAGCTGTGCCCATGGGGCAGGGAGGGGGCATGGCTGTCCTTACCAGGGTGGCTCTGGCACAGCACAGACCTTCTGGGGTGCCGCTGACAGGCTTCACTGTGGCTTGTTCTTCCCAAAATGCTCATCCCCATTTTTGTCACCTGTGTCCCTTCCAGGTGGGTGCAGGTAGCCTGTCCCCGACTCTCCATTGACTGGGGAGAAGCCTTCAGCAAGCCCCTGCTGACACCCTACGAGGTGAGCACCCTGCTCTTGTTTTTTGGGGGCCAGTCCTGTCTTGGGGCAGGCTTGGGGATGTCCCTGCAGCCAGGCAGCATCCCCTCCTGTCTCCATATGTGCTCCTTGCACAGTCCAGGCAGGCTGCTGAGATATCCAGTCTCTTGTGAAAACAGTGGATTCCCTGTGCCTCGAGCTTTGCTCCAGCAGTGCCCTGCTCGGCACACCAAGCCACTGTGCTGGGACCTCTCCCAGCACTGCCAGCCTCCCCATCACAGTCACGGCTCCCTGTCCCCTCCACAGGCTGCGGTGGCCCTCCAGGACATCGAGTGGCAGCAGCCTTATCCCATGGACTTCTACGCCAGCCAGTCCCTGGGGCCGTGGACGGCGAACCACGGCGACACACAGCCCCCGCGCCGCGGGCGGCCGGCACAGGTGGGCGGCGGGGGTGTCACCGGGGCAGCGGGTCCCTTCTCTCTCGGTGTCGGGGACGGGCTGGGGGAGCAGCGCCCGGTGCAGTTTGGTGGCCGGTGCCGCGTGCCAAAAGCGCCACCGCGTGGCTTCGTTCCCGGCGAACAGGAACGGGGCCGTTGCCAGCCTGGCTTGCGGGGTCTACCAGAGCCCCCTTCCCAGTATTTACCGGGCTGAGCGCCC